TGAAAAGATTTGTAACTGATTTGATATTATATTGTTTTAATGAGGAATTTGACTTTTGGGTTCATTATAATTTATAAATATGTAGTTGAAGAAAATAAGAGTAGAAAGTGATATTTTTATAATATACATGTCTTAGAGGTTCGATAGTTTTGATGGGCATAAATGGGCTACTTGAATAACGGCAAGGGTATTTTTAGATCAAAATGCAACGGAGGATACAATTATCCCACCTTTTTCAATAATGAAAGGAAATTATTGACTCTTCTCTAAGCAAGGGCTGATTTGCAAGCAGGTCGGATCAATCTAGATTGAGTATTGTAAAATTATATGTATGTATGATATAAAGAATGTTTGTGGTGTATAATTTAACGCATTATATAATTCTTACCGAATATTTATCTGAGATTTACCATTTATATTTACTTGTGGTTAGATGTTAAAGATGAAAGATAATAAGTTTATATAGAAATGTTTGTCATATATTGATATGTTTCAATTGATCTGCACCAAGTAGAAAATAGAGTTATAAGGAGAATCGATGAAAATTAGGATTTCACTTGAAATGCCAAATATATAAATCGATTAATCCTATCAAATTGATGGATTAAGGAGTAAGGAATTCACCTAGAATGGTGAAACTGTGCAATCTCCATTGGAGAAGCATGTGAAGAATAGGAGAACAAATCTCTCTGTATTGAATTGAACAATCTGAGATTCTGAGATTACAACTATGAACTAAACTATTTATAGAATTAACTGAAAAACTACTGCTAACAATCTCTAACAAACTTCTAACTGATTGTAACTAACTGATGGTATACAATGACGTGGACTAACCATTAACTAATAAATGGACTGATAAATATCTCAATACCCCCCCTCAAGTTGGAGGCGATATCAAGGCAGCCAACTTGTCCAGTAGAGCAGCATGTTTGATTCCAGTAAGTGCTTTAGTGAGTATGTCAGCCAGTTGATCACTGGTGCCAATGTGATGCAAACAAATGAGGCTTTCGTGAAGCTTGGTTCGTACAAAATGGCAGTCGACCTCAATGTGTTTTGTCCTTTCGTGAAAAACTGGATTACGGGCAATGTGTAATGCTGACTGGCTATCGCAATAAACAAGGAAAGGACCATTTCTAGGAATTGTGAGTTCATCAAACAATCGTTCCAACCAAGTTAGCTCACCAACTACCTTTCGTAGGGACCTGTACTCTGCTTCAGCTGAGGAAAGCGAAATGGTTTCCTGCTTCTTAGATTTCCAACTAATAGGACTAGAGCCTAATAATACAATATATCCACTGACTGATTTGCGGGAATCAGAACATGTAGCCCAGTCAGAGTCACAAAATGCTTGTACCTTGTAATCATCAGTAGAAGACATGAGTATGCCCAGTGTTGGATCTTTCTTAAGGTACCTGAGCATGTGGTAAGCAACCTGCATGTGAGGTTCTCTAGGATTCTGCATAAACTGGCTAAGATGTTGGACCCCATATGCAATATCTAACCTAGTATTGGTGAGAAAGTTGAGCTTCCCAATTAACTTTCTGTAGGAGCTAGGATCTGATAAAAGTGTACCCTCATTAGCTCTCAGTTTAATAGTTGCATCAAGGGGTGAATTGAAGCTGGAAAATTGAGAACATTGATAGTCTTTGAGAAGATCCAAAACAAATTTCCTTTGTGAAATGATGACTCCCACTGCAGTATAAAGGATTTCCAGACCTAAGAAGTAGTGTAATTTCCCCAGATCCTTGATCTTGAACTGATTGTGTAGGAACCCCTTCAAATTATTTATTTCTTCAATATCAGTACCTGTGAGCAAGAGGTCATCTACATACACAACTATAAAACAGTAGAAGACTCTTTTTTTCCTGTAGAACAAAGAATAATCATTGAGAGAATGAGTATAGCCCCTTGACTTAAGTGCATCAGACAGCTTGGCATACCAATGTCTGCTGGCTTGTTTCAGCCTATATAAGGACTTGTTTAGCTTGCATACTAGGCCAGAATCAGAAAGCTCAAGGCTTGGAGGAGGTTGCATATAAACCTCCTCATGTAAGTCACCATGGAGGAAAGCATTATTTACATCGAGCTGGTAGATGTTCCAATGCCTCTTCACAGCAACAACAATTAGAGCCCTCACAATTGTCATCTTAATAACAGGAGAAAAAGTTTCTGTATAATCTATACCATAGTGCTGAGTATATCCCTTTACAACAAGCCTTGCTTTGTACCTTTCTATAGTGTCATCTGCCTTATGTTTAATCTTGTACACCCACTTACAACCAATAGCCTTTTTCCCACAGGGAAGACCCATAAGAGTCCAAGTATTGTTGTCATGGAGAGCAGAAAGTTCTTGTATCATTGCAGCTTGCCATGCAGGGTCCATAGCTGCATCTTCATATGAAGATGGCTCACAGTCATTGGAGGCATTTAAAACTAAAGATTGACTGTCAGGATATAAGATATTAGAGCTCACATGATGATGAGTAGAAAAAAGAGGTATGTAGGGAAACAAGAGGGCTTGGTGTTGCAGGGTGATTTCCAGTGTGAACATAGTCTGTGAGATAAGCAGGTGTCTTGGGAATTCTGGTAGATCTCTTTACTGGTGGTTCAGGATTAGTAGAACTATGATCAGTATGAGTGGAGTGATTGGGAAATGTTACTCTTGCAGACTCATGATCAGTTTGCACATTGTTGTTAGCAGGTAAGTTAACAGAAGGTTCAACAACTGGAATGGGGAAGTGGTCAAATACAAAAGGTGGAGAAGAACCAAATGTAGGAGAAGTAAACTTGTCAATCATAGTAAAAGGGAACACTGTCTCATGGAACACAACATCCCTGGATACATGAATTTTATGAGTGGTCAAGTTAAGCACCTTATAACCTTTAGTACCAAAGGGATATCCTACAAACACATGTGGAGTAGTTCTTGGATCAAACTTGGTTCTGTGGGCTTTTGGGGTGATTGGATAACACAAACAACCAAAACTTTTCATATGGGAATATTGGGGTTCATGGTTATATAGAAGTGTGAATGGAGCTTTATTGTGAAGAATAGCAGATGGAAGTCTATTAATGATAAAAGTTGTTGTGAGTACACACTCACCCCAGTACTTGACTGGTAGTTTGGACTGAAATAGCAAAGCTCTAGCAGTCTCTAAGAGGTATTTATGCTTTCTTTCTACCACACCATTTTGTTATGGTGTGTAGGGACATGATTTCTGGTGAAGAATGCCCTTGGATTGGAAAAATAGAGTAGACTCATGGCTGGTGAATTCTAGACTATTATCTGATATGATGATTTGAATGGTGGTTTTAAATTGATTTTCAACTATGTTGACAAAAGCTTTAAGGATGTGCAAAGCATTGCTTTTGCAACTTAGTAGATGTGTCCAAGTGGACCTGCTGAAATCATCTACCAGGGTTAGAAAGTATTTGAAATTGTCATGAGTTGCTACATGATATGGTCCCCATAAGTCAATATGAAGTAGTTCAAATATTTTGGTGGTGCTGTGGGATTTTGAAGGGAAAGGCAGTCTAGTTTGTCTTGCCATAGGACATATACCATATGAGAAAGGTTGCTTTGTAGCAAATTTCACAGGAATAGAGCATATGTTTTTCATTTTGACAAAAGGTACATGTCCAAGTCTGTAATGCCATAATAGATCAGTACTAACACCATGAGACAAGTGTGAAGATACAGGAACAGAAACAACATTCTTATTATTGTGAATGGTATTCATTACAGTTGGAAAAGAAATACATGGAGTAGGAGATGGTAAATGAGTACATGAACATGAATGAGAAAGACTTTTATGTGGACAACCTATTGCATTGCTTTGAAAAGAGATAGATGGATTGACTTCTAAATATTTCTTCTGTAAATAGGTTGGACACAGAACATAGAGGCCATCTTGCACTCTACCAATCTCCAGAGGCCTCTTCATTGAAAGGCCCTGCAACATACAAGAGGAATCAGAAAAAATAGCAATGCATTTGAGATGAGCTACTAAGGATTTGATGGAAATCAGATTATATCTGAAAGATGGGATGAAAAGAACTTTGTGCAACGTAATCATAGAAGCAAGTTTCACACTCCCAACCTCTGTTACTTTAACTTTGTATCCATTGGGTAAGTCTACTAACAAGGGGTAAGGTAAGACAATGATATTTGAGAGATGACTTTTCGTAGAAGTCATGTGATGTGTAGCTCCTAAATCTAGTATCCATAAATCAGTTTTAGTTTTAAAACATCCACATGAAAGATTGTCAAGTTCAATAGGAGAGTTGCAAGCTATCATACCTGCAAAGTTCACTGCTCCACTTGACATCTGGTCCTCATTGGTTTCTCCTGCATTATTCATCTGAAACTGTTGCATCATGCTGATAAGTTGTTCATACTGGTCCTTGGTGAGATTAGGATTTGAGTAATGTGAAGGTCCATCATTTCTTTCTACATTGGGCGTATCATCAGTACCACATGCATTTGCTGCTATCCCCTTTCCTTTAGCAGACCTGTGATTTGGATTGTTATTAGGCTGAAACTTCTGATTCTGAGCATTATTGTATCTGTTTTGGTTACCATAACCATTTGAATTTTGCCCATTGCCATTAGTGTTGTTCTGTGGATAGCCATGTAACTTGTAGCATTTATTTTTCATGTGCCCCAACTTCTTGCAAAAGTCACAAAATGGTCTTGGTCTCCCACTATAACCAGTTGAAGTAGAATATTTGGTTTTGAATTGTTGTTTTCCACCTGATGATCCTGAAGAACTGGCATGCATAGATGAATTCATTGAGCTTGCCTCCATGAACATTTGATTATTAGGTTTGATCTCTCTTTGTTTTTCCTCCTGAACTAGCAAAGCAAAAGCTTGAGCCATAGATGGTAGGGGGTTCATCATCAGTATATTTCCTCTGATTACAGTATAAATTTCATTTAACCCCATGAGAAATTGGATGAGTCTTCTATCATGTTCTGCCTTGTGCATGTTGTCCTTTTATCCACAATTGCACACACAACTACACTGATCTTTGACATTCAAATTGTTCAGCTCTTCCCACAATTTCTTCATCCTAGTGTAGTATACAGTAATATCCAGAGCACCCTGACTTAGATCATTAATTTCTTTCTGGATCTGAAACAATTTTGCTCTATTCGTTTGATCGTAGCGATCTTCTAACTCTTTCCACAGTTCCAAAGAGTCACAGACATATTCGACACTGTCTGCAATTTCTTTTCCAAGGGAATTAAGTATCCATGATGTGACCATATTATCACACTTTTCCCATTGGCGATATTGGGGTGAATTGAGGAATGGTCTCCTACATTTCCCAGTTATGAAAACTAGCTTGTTCTTCACAGAAAGGGACCTTATCACACCTCTTCTCCATGACCTATAACCTAATCCTTCAAACACAAACTGGACGAGAAGAATAATTGGACTATCAGATGGATGAATGTACAGAGGACTACTTACATCGATTGTATTGTTTCCTGTTGAGATGGTGTTGGGATCTGTGGCTTCCACCATGGTGAATCAAATACAGAAAATTGTTATGTTTATAGGGGACAACGATTAAGTTGAATCAAGGGACTGCAGATGCAGAAAATCCTCAATTGCACATTCGCGATGAACACGAGGCAACCGCTATCGGAGAAATCCATGGATCGATTGAAAAAAAATAGATCTAATGAGAGCAACCTTGTTCTGATACCATGTCAAATTGATGGATTAAGGAGTAAGGAATATACCTAGAATGGTGAAACTGTGCAATCTCCATTGGAGAAACATGTGAAGAATAGGAGAACAAATCTCTTTGTATTGAATTGAACAATCTGAGATTCTGAGATTACAACTATGAACTAAACTATTTATAGAATTAACTAAAAAACTACTGCTAACAATCTCTAACAAACTTCTAACTGATTGTAACTAACTGATGGTAAACAATGACGTGGACTAACTATTAACTAATAAATGGACTGATAAATATCTCAATAAATCCAAAATCAAACTTAAAAGTTGTTTATCCAATCCAATCCAGTTCAAATAAATAGATTTGAACTGTAATTTCTTCACTCAAAAATTCAAATCGAAATTTTTATATTCAATCTGAACTGTCCAAATAAATATGACTTTTTTCCGTTTTAAAATTTTGAAAAAAGAACTATAGAAGTCAAAGGTATGAAGTACTAGGATTAGTTAAATACTTTTAAATTCATGAAGATCCAATCGATGCACGTTAGTGATCAATTGACCAGTTGATTTTTTAATTACCAATACTTAAAATAAATAAAGTTGCTAAATTTAATTACCAATACTTTTGTTTCATTAATCAAGTTGATTTTTTTTTTCGAAATCTCCAGTAATTTCCACGCACTTTCTTTCAAGAAGAAATAAATTTCACTTTACCCCTTTTTTTTTTTTAACCATCCCTAGGAGCTCCCACCTCTTTTGCTCCCATGGTGACTCGAACTCTCAACCTTCGAGTTGAAAGTGAGGGGTGCTTACCCTATTAACCTTTCTATTTTGGAAAATAATATATAGCCTTAAATAAATGCTTAATACAAAATTAAATAGTTGAAGATAAATTACAATTCTAGCAACAATATATAATTAAGTAAGAAAATCTATCAAGACAATTTGATGCTCTACTAAAAAAGATCCATCATGTAGCAATATGATGCTTTGAAAATTCCAAAAAATAAAAAATCTAAAGGAGAAAAAATATGTGTTATGAAATTTAAATTTTTATATAAATGTATTGCTTAATTCTTTTAAAAATTATTTACAAAAGTATTAACTGAGATCATTTTTTACATTAAAAAAAAATGTAATGACCCAACTTATTTCTAATCATCGATTTATAAAAAGGGTGTAATGACTTGATTCCGTCGTAAGGGAAAAGCCAATGGAGAAAGAATTGGGGTCAGAAAACTTTTTCGTAGTAACTTGAGATTTTCCAACCTAGTCCAGATTTGGACGAAAACGGAGTCATTAAGGTGTAGGGAAATTTGGTAGCAACTGGGTGACTTATTTACGATTTTGATTACATGAATAGTTAGATAAGTTGTTAAGGAATCTGTACGACTTTACGGAATTGAATTCGGGTGAGTAGAACTCCCGGAATCGATCTTAGAGTAAACTGTATTTTCTGAGCGTCGTTGGTTAAAAGTGTGTTGTGAAATGGGGGTCTTGGAATTATTAAAATAGCTCACTGATTCCGTGCAAGCCGTTGGGGCGAAATTTCTGCCGCTAGGGCGGGGCCACTGTAGCGGGGTGAAGACCGTTGTGGAGGGTCCGATGTGACTTAAGGTCGTAAATAAACCCCAAAACGTCTTTATTCTGCACTTTTCGACTTTGAGAGCTCAGGAACGACCCCAGACGAGTTCTTGACCGTTTTTCACCATTCTTGAGGCTAAAGGTAAGTTTTTCACTCCCCGAATCCATTTTTCGATCCGTAGAACGTAATAGAATGGGTGAATATTGATGGGGGAGGGTTTTTTTGTAGATTCTATAGTGGAAGCAACCCTAATTTGGATAATTGGGATCATGGTTTTGATCTAGGTTCATAGAGTTATTAGTAATTCAGTTATTAATGATTGTTTATTGATTCCCGTATTATATTGATTGTTTATAGACCAAGAACAAGCGGAACGAATCCGGAAAGGGAAGAATCAAGTTTCTTAGAGTTTCAAGCTTGTTTCAAGGTAGGTGATGGTTGTGATTCTATGATTGTGTGATGTATGTTTGTAATTGCTCATTATAATGCATGTATGTATGCAAATGTTGCATTATTGATCACACTTGTTATAAATTAGGATAATTGAATAATTGTATGACATGAACCACCTCTTGTTGTATGATTGTGAGAATATACATTGTGATTGTGATTGTGGTTTGTTGATTGGATTGGTTGCCACGTTACGGCATAAACATTGGATCGGTTGCCACGTTTCGAAATAAACATTGGATCGGTTGCCACGATCCGGCATAAATATGGGATCGATTGCCACTTTCTGGCATAAACATTGGATCGGTTGCCACGTTCCGGCATAAATATAGGATCGGTTGCCATGATCCAGCATAAATATGGTATCGGTTGCCATATTCCGGCATAAACATTGGATCAGGTACCACGTTTCGGTATGCTAACAGTTTGGGTGTGGGTTCCATGAGAGGACCATTGAATTGGGTTCCATGAGAGGACCATTGAATTGTGTTGTGTATCTACTTGTGATGATTACGTTCATATCTAATGATGATAGATATTGGAAGATTGTATGTTGTTCTAAATTGATAACCAATGTGTATTATTAAGAACGTGTGATGCTACATTAATCCTGAAAAGATGACTAATATTGTATATGTTTGGTATATGCCTGTTTTATAATGTTGTGATTACTTGCATGTGTTTCACTTATTGAGATAGCCGCGTGATCCTACCAGTACACTATGGTTGTGTACTGATACTGCACATGTGATGTGAGGTCAAAATACATATTTTTAATCATTATTTGCCTCACATTTAGTATTTATATTTGTCCTTTATGAGCATAAATTTTATGGATTGTTCTAAATTGTGTATTTTATTTGTAGGATTAAATTGATGGAAAATTGGAGATGTTTGGAGCTAAAACGAATTAAAGATGAAAAGTTGAAGAAGGAAATCAAGCAGGCAGCTTAATGGAAATAAGTTAATATAATATTAATATAATTTATATGCAAATAAGGAAAGAAAAACTTACCTGCTGGTCCACGTATCAGGCAGCAACATCAAAAGAAGTTACACGCACAAACTTGGAAGCTACACGCGGAGAAAAAGGAATCCAATTCCTTTCGGGTTTTGATTTCCTAATTTGTTTGGACTCAATTATTTTATTTAGGGTTTCCTACATCTATAAATAGGGCATGGAAATAATTATTAGGGAGGCCAAGAACCAAGATACAAGACACAATATAAATTTTCTTCTAGCTTAGAAACTTTGAAAGAGCCGCCGTGGAGGCCGGAGAATTGTGGTTTATTCTTTCTTCTCCTTTATTATTTATTTGTATTCGTGCTTAATAAAAGATAGTTTAGCTATTGTTCTTAACTTTTTATGATTAACACAAGCATATTTATTTTAATGAATTTTGATTGTGTTTTTGAGATAATGAGCAGCTGACTTTCATAACTAGGGCTGTGGGAACCATAAGCGATTAACAAAGTATGAATAATAACTAAGCAATTCTTGAATAGTGTCTTGCATGCATTGATAATTCTTTCGTTTAGAAGTCTTTTTAACGAGTGCACGCGTTAGAACTCGCCTTGTTGCTACTTGCCGGACCAAGGATGTAATCAACAAGAAAAGAATTATCAACATAGATTTAGTGTGATACTATCTAATAGGCTAGTGTCGATTGGTGCGAAGTAATAACTAAGCCAAACATTGATTATGATGTCTAATATGAGGTAAATGTAAGGGTTAGTAAATTATACACACGTAGCCGGACCAAGGTGCGGGGTGAAATTCTCTAGATGCCGTATCAAGGATTTAGAGATACCTAACTTATCACTTTGCATGTAATACACTAGAAAAGAATTACTATTATTAGGATTACCGCGTTATGAGCTTATGGGGAACACATTCCTAGTTACTTTTCATAATCTGAATATAAATAAATACTTAGTTCAAAGCTATCTTTTTATTATTTTTATTTTATTTTATTTCAATTTAAATCCCCCATTTTTATAACGACTATCGAGTTAAATATTTACTATTGACAATATTCTTTCATATTCTCTGTGGGATCGACCCCGACTCATAGTTGGGTAAATATATTGCATACGATCGTTTATATTTCTTTTCAAGAAGTATATTTGAACGTTATAAAAAATGGCGCCGCTGCCGGGGACTATGGCTTAGAAATTGTCTTTAGTATTTATTTTGACTTGTAGTCCCTTTTTGTTTCTTAGGATTAGTTTAAAATTATTATTTTTATTATTATTATCATATTTCTTTTACTCTTCTTAAGATGTCATCTGAAAAAATATGTAGTGAAAAGTGTTCTTGCAATTCTTGCCCTTCTGATTTTATGGGTTCGTATAAGTTAGTTTTTTTTTATCAACTAGATGAGTTGTATGGGGAGATGGAAGATTTGTTGATACTTTGCTATAAATCAATATGTAAGCGCAATTCTGAATATAAATTTGAATTTGATCTCTATTATTTAGATATTGAGTTGAGTGCAAAGTTTAAATCATATGAAACCCAACAATTTAGTAATAATATGTGTGATGAAGAAAAAATACTTATAAGTCAACTTGAAGAGCTAAGAGTGGAGGGTCAATTGCTTGATTATACTGTTGTTGATGTTGTCACTGTTGAGAAGAGTGCACTAGAGTTATGTAATGAAGTAGATAATATTATTTTTAAAAACTCTAGTATGTGTAAATATGAGGATGTAAAAAATAATGTAATTCATAAGTTAGGGCGCATTGGACCTCATTCCAATCATTTTTCTACATTATGTTTAGATGATGAGAAATT